CCTCTCTCTCTCTCTCTCTCTCTTTCTCTTCATTTGTTCTGTCACAAATCATCCTTGTTTTCGTCGCCTCGAGTAGAAAAACGGTCCGGTACGCAATTTCAAATGTTTCACCCGCTGTTCAGTTTCTAATTTAATGTGCGTTAATCGCCACGTTCCGTCTACGTTTCCACGTCCACGCCTACAATTTGTTATCTTTCTTTCTTTTTTTTTTTTTTTTTTTTTTTCCGTTTTAACGACCGATATTCGAATACAGACATGTTGTTCTCGAGCAAAGTTATCGAATTGATGCATAGCGGTGACGGTGGATCAGGTTGGAGAAAATTGTTCTTTTCTCGAATACGAAAGGGTGTAATATTTAGAAGTTCTTGACTGTACGTGTAATCGATGTCGATCGTGGAAATATGTATTTTGTTATTTGAAAAATCGAGAATTGAATCTTGGCGAAAAAAGTCTTGGCACTTCGATAAAAAATTCCACGAGAATTATTTATCGAATAAAGTAATGCGGTATTGAAAGTATTAATTAAGTTAAGAACGATGAATCAGCTATTATATAACAAAGTTTTTATTTAATAATTGCACTTAATTCTTACTTTACTCGTTTTCTTCGTTAATTTTTAAACAATATATATATATATTTAAAAACACACACGTTTAAAAACTATTTAAAAACAATTTACGTTTGTATTCCTTTTAAATAAAGAAGTGTTGGAAAAAAAAAAAAATGAAAATTAATCAACGGTTAATAATTTTGCGTACCAAGAAATCATTCATTCATTCGTAATTGATCGTCGAATAAAACGAATGTTATTTACATCGCGTGTTGCAGAAATTAAAATGCCGATCGATTTTTATCAACTTCTCGGAAGTCCGCCATGCCGTGCAGTTGCATTGACGGCTGCTGCTTTTGGTATCGAAATGAACTTCAAAAAGGTTGATTTGTTGAATGGAGAACACTTGAAGCCTGAATTTTTAAAGGTACGAAATATCATTCGATTGTTTAATCTTCCGAATCGAAACAAAAAAAAAAAAAAAAAAAAAAACGAATGTTATGAACGGATTAAATCGTAGATGAATCCACAACACACGATACCTACGATCGATGATAACGGTTTCTATTTATGGAAAGGTAACTTTTGTCCACCTTTATTTTTTTCCTCGAGAAAACTCTTGAATTTATCATACCGTTGTTTCCCTTTCAGTCGAGCCATTATGATGTATTTGGCGGACCAATACGGCAAAAATGACTCCCTGTATCCAAAGGATCTGAAGAAACGGGCGATCATTAATCAAAGATTATACTTCGACGTGTGCAATTTATATAAATCGTTCGCGGATTATTACGTAAGTTATACAAATTATTCGATTATTTTTTTTTTTTTTTTTTCTTTAAATTATACAAAACCGTTCCGAACTATTTTCTATGAAAGCAAACGATTTTATTATTCGTGAGTATTCGTATGAATGATGAAATAACAATAATAATAATGATAATAATCGGAAAAAATTTCTTCCCCAGTATCCTATGATTTTCGCCAAAGCGGCCAAAGATCAAGCAAAATACGAGAGCATTGGCACGGCACTTTCGTTGCTCGACAAATTCCTCGAAGGGGAAAATTATGTAGCAGGAAAGAATATCACCCTTGCCGATTTAAGTATCGTGACTACCGTCTCCACGATAGAGGTAACACGTTTTATAATGTTATCTGTTGAACAAAAGTTTTAAACCAAATAATTTTTAGTTTAGTCCAAGTCGATCGTTAAGATAACAATTATTTATTTCAACAAAATTGTGTAGCCCAACTCTTCTGTTGAACGTTAATAACTGAAGTAAGAAAAATCTCGAATAAACTTACTTTTCAAGTAATTATTTATTATTAAAACGCTTGAATTGAAACGTTTATTATTCGTGGCTGGTATCATTGTCGATCCGCTTTTCGTATAATCTCCATTCGTTTCCCCCATTACAATTATTTGCGTTTATTGTTAAGTTTCGAACGAACGAACTAAATTATCGAAGTAAAGTTTAAGTAACGTTAAGTAACTTCGATTCAATTAAATTTTCCTCGTTCATCGATAAATATATACGATTGTAAATAAGTTACATTGTGTCGCTTTGCGTAAATTCTAAAATTTCATCACGTTGGGAAATATCGTATTTTCGGATAAAAAAATTACTCGATACTTTGCTCGATCTACGATATATTTATATTTCTTTTAAAAGGTTTTACAGTTTAACAAGTGTGTGTATCGTTCTTGTAACAGGTGATGGATTACGATCTCGGCAAATATAAGAACGTTACGAGATGGTTTGCAAAGATGAAATCGGAGATACCGAAATACGAAGAGTACAATAACGCTGGATTGAAAATGTTCAAAGCGTTGGCGGACGAGAAGTTGTCGAAAAAGTAAACAAAATGGGATGAGATAAATTGCGTTTAATTATTTAATTTCTTCTTCTTTTTGTTATTATACGAAAAATTATTTTATTACACGAATAAAGAGTTATCGTTGTCCTTTAAGGATTGGATCCGATCTTTAGTTTTTAATCTTCCAACCAAATTTACTTGTCTTCTTCTTATCCTACGAAACACATCGTAATTCTCGATAACTCGATCGAAAAATATCGATATTGACTTTTGCCGATTCCATTTCTCCAATAATTTCCCGAGAGCGAAAAATTTCACCAGGATGGATCGTAATGGATAAAATGCGAATGGATAAAATTTATTTAGAAAATAAATCGTACGTGTCATCGCATTTATTTTTTTTTTTTTTTTTTTTTTAAAGATTTTGAACAAATTGTATTGAAATCCGAAATTATTAATATTCGAAAAATTACGAGCATTTTATAATTCCTGATCGACTCGTAACGGTTCGATCATTCAAAGATTATTAACATTATCGCGTTTACCATGCGGTAAATAGTGGAATCAGCATCGAACAGCAAATTAATGAACCTTGTAATTATAGAAGCCACTTGGTGTTCGCAATGCGGCCAATTTACTTCGATAGTGACCATCCTTTTGTTTCGATGTTCATTTGCTAATTACCCTCGATCTCGGTTTCAGCTACGTTTTAATTACAATACAATGGTTGGCAAAACTCTTTAATCGTTATTTCCTTCCTCTTTTTTGCCGTGATTAGTCGACAAGGTTAAAAATAAAGATAAAAAAGAAAAAAAAGAAACTTTCGAATCTTATCGTGAACACCTTGAAACGAAATATAAGAATAATTTTGCAATAAATTTTAGTTAAAAAAAAAATAAAAATAAAAGAAAAAAAAAGAAAACTTTA